GAGAATTATAGACCGATAAGTCTGTTGTCACATCTCTACAAATGGTTTACCAAGATCATCACAAAACGTTTAGAACGAAAATTAGATTTCTATCAGTCTAAAGAGCAAGCTGGGTTTAGAAAAGGTTATGGAACAAATGACCACCCACAAGCACTTAAAATACTAATTAAAAAATGTGTTGAATATAATAAACCACTCACGTTGATTTTCATAGACTTCAAGAAAGCTTTTGATACCGTGGAATTACCGGCAGTATTAGGAGCATTAGAACAAAGCCGAGTAGAATATAGATATACAAATTTGATAAAACATATATACAACAACGCAACAGCATCTGTTAAACTCCATGACTTTACCGATAAATATAGAATTGAGCGAGGAATTAGACAGGGCGACACCATCTCCCCCCAACTATTCACTGCAGCTCTGGAATATGCCTTTAAAAAACTAGATTGGGCTAAAAGGGGAATGAATATTGATGGTGAATACTTAAGCCACTTGCGTTTTGCAGATGATATTGTCATTATAGCCGAGAGTTTAAATGAAGCTCACAAAATGATGGAAGAACAAAACAGGCAATAGAACAAATAGGCCTGAACATAAACTTTGAAAAAACAAAATATATGACCAATTTAGTTCCAAGTGATGTTATGAGGGTAGATGGGAACGAAGTACATCAGGTCTTTAGCTATATCTATTTAGGGCATGAAATTAGAATAGGAAAAGACAATCAAACTTGTGAGATTCAGCGTCGCATAGGCTTGGGATGGGCAGCATTGGGCAAGATGCAAGATATTCTAAAAGGAACGCTACCGATTTGCTTGAAGAAAAAGGTTTACAACCAATGCATACCGAGTAATAACATATGGTTCCGAAACAATAACTGTAACCAAACATTCTGCAAATAAATTGAGAGTAAACCAAAGAAAAATGGAAAGAGCAATGTTGGGAATAAGATAGATAGAAGAGATATGGTACCAAATAGGATAGTGAGAGAGAGAACTAAAGTGACAGATGTCATAGAAAAAACTGCACAAGCCAAATGGAGATGGGCTGGACATATAGCACGTTTAAATGATAATAGGTGGACCAAAAGACTCATAGAATGGAGACCTAGAGAAGACAAAAGACACCGAGGCAGATCACCAAAAAGATGGATGAACGACTTGAGAAAAACAGTCGGAAATTGGATACAGAAAGCGCAAGATAGAGAACAGTGGAAGAACATGGAGGACACCTATATTCAACAGTGGATGCAAGAGGTTGAGGAATGATGATGATGATGATGACATATTTGAAATATTTCTTGCAGACAAAATGTTTGAATTCATCGCGGATGATCGACTGCACATTTTACATTGACCATGTTTTATGTTGTCTCTACATCTTCAGGATCTTGTTAAGTAAGAAAATTTGGTTAGTACTATATCTATGGGGGGTTTAAATGGTGTAGTAATGCGCATCATAATGTGTTGCCTCCAGATAACACCTCTAGCCTCTCCTACTCAATTCCTATCCTCACCTCCGAGAAGTGTGATCCGGATCACACGGGCGAACCCCGGTAAACCTGAGCAACCCTACTGGAGACTGGGTAACCAATCCCAGTAGAAGGTGGGGTCAGGGCTGACGAGGAAGTGAAAAATTGTTCTCCGAAAAGGGGGTTGGGCATGAGGCTAACTCCCTCATCCCATAAAAACTTATTGTTACGAAATCTTGAAATTGAAAAGCACGACTAAATTCAAGATGATGACCCACACACCGAACTAAGTACAATGATTTAAAGATCAGCAATTGGAATGTAAGATCGCTGTATAGGACAGCGGGACTAAAGCTGCTGCAAGATCAACTCCTAAAATACAGAATAGACATAACCATTCAAGAGATGAGATGGACAGGAACCGGCATTATGCAGAAAAAAGAACATGATATATATTACAGCTGCAACTCGAACCGACATGAGTTCGGAACTGCGTTTCTAGTATCCAAGAAAATCAAAATTATTGGTTTTAAAGCCATAAATGATCGGTAATTCATCCTTCGAATAAAAGAAAAATTTTTCAACATATGCCTGATCAACGTGCACGCGCCAACTGAGGAAAAAGACAAAGAAATTAAAGATCTATTCTACGAAGACCTCTAAAGAGCATATGATAACTCTGATAAAAACGATATTGAAATAATCATTAGAGACATAAACGCCCAGATAGAAAAAGAGATATGCTACCAAGATTATATTGGTAAACAGCCTTCACGACGTTACTAATGACAATGGTTTAATGGCAGCTTCCAAAGATTTAATTGTGCGAAGTACATGTATTAATCATAAGAATATTCATAAATCAACTTGGATATCACCAAATGGACACACCACAAATCAAATTGGTCATGGTATAATTGACAGAAGGCACTTTACAAACCTAATGAACCTCAGAACTTACAGAAATGCAAATCAGACCATTTCATGGTAGGTTACATGACATGTAACCTACATGATAAGTTACGACAAAGAATTTTCAATGCCAAGAAAAAAAGGGGCAATAGACAAGTAAAATATAATTTACGTATGCTAAAAAATGAAAACAAAGAGAACCATTTCCAGTATCATATAAAAGAAACCCCAGTATCATATAAAAAAAAACTCTATAACGCACCTAGAAAGAAACGACTGATTCGAGCAAGACTGCAAAAAAATAACAGACAAAATAACAATCTTCAATACCTTTTTTGCAAGCATTAATGTTTCTGCTCCATAAGTGACTACCGGTAACACACATTTTTCAAAGATTTTACTTTTGAGGCATATGGGTAAGTCCGATCTAAATACATAGTTTAATTTACCAAACGCTGCCCAGGCCAATCATATGCGACTTGGGATGTCACATGTCTGGATTATCTCTTCATAGGCCTTCTTATATTTTGGATGAGCTTTTATTTGAATTTGAAATGTTGAATCCGATGAAGTTAACAATTTTTTTAAATAATCGTCCAAATATTTTATCCATTAATAATGCAACACCTTTGTACTGTGAAATGTCGTTGTTACTAAAATATTATATTGTAGTATCATCAATGAAAATTTATTCTAATCCTGGACATCTTACTTTACTGATATCTAGAATGTTATTTACATTAGAGCTCCAAATAAACATTGGGCATTCCATGTTTCTATTTTGATCATATTCTTTCTTCTAGTTTCCAATTTGGGGTAGCCCCTAGCATTCTTCGTAGGGATTCTCTCTCTGTTTTCTTGGATTGATAGATCTCAGATGTAGCAAAATAATTTTATGGAAAACTATAAAATAATAAATTCGTACACGCCCGCTAAATCCTGGTTTGTTACCAAGCTATACTCTACTCCCTGATTCTTCTTCCTTCCTTATCTTTTGAATGAGACAGCCACAGTCTTGATACTAGTATAACGGAGTATCTTAATAATCTGAAACCATCAATTAACTGGATACTAGGCTGAAACGACCAAAAATGTATTCAAATCTATGAAATTAGATGAGAGCTTGTAAGACATGCAAATTCTGGGGAAAAACATAAAAGGAGAGATATAAAACAATAAAAATAATTGGAAGTATTCTTTCAGATAAAAAAAATCCTTCAAATTTGAATTTTAAATTATAGCGATTTTGATTTTTCAGAGGTTTAAATAAATAAGAATTTGGTAGAAAAGTGTGTATTCTATTTTCCCTTACATATGAGTATTTTCTGAATAAACAAGCTTTTTACCATTATATTTAGATTGACAGCGAATCGAACATAAGTTGATTATAATAGTCAAATAAAAGCAACGCAGGTTAAGGATAAGTGTGCGGCGAGAGTGCTGTCATTCTTTTGTAATGACTACAATGTATAGTGGTCAAGGCGTTAAAATAACTTTTGATTATACGGGGTAGTTTAGTTTTCTCTTAAAATATTTTACTATTTTTGCATTTTTTGCTCTACACAGAAGTTTTGTTTGACTAATATAAATCATCATCTAAACTAGATAGGACATGTATTATAAAAAAGCATACAACAAAGTTTTGGAAGAAAAAAGGCACACAAATTACATTGAGCATTTACAAATTTATGAAGAATTTACCATAGACTTAAATAAATCCTTACAGAAAGCTTTTGCTGACGAAGAAAGCACAAATAAACTAATAATATGGACAATTTTTATACCTTTAGTGAAAGAAGATGCTTCTAATGCTCCTGAAAAAGTTAAACATCTTTAAATTTAAAAAATATATTTTTTAAGTTGTCATTTCTTTTTTTTAAATTCGTCCAGTTAACTTATAACGAATATTTTGCCTACCACATAGGTTATTATTATAGGGGGTTGAAAATTGGGGATAGAAATTATTGGGGTAGAGATAGGGCAAGCAAAATAAACCAAACTATTACGAACGACTCTCAGGGTTTATTTGGAAAATTAGGTTGTGGATAAGTTAATGACAAGGTGGAATTGGATTACATGGACACAGACAAGGGGTACTTACATGAGTCTCCTGGAATAAACAAAACACAAGAAGGTCCTCTAACTATTTAAAATAAGGATGCCGCTTTGAGGAAACTTCCTGCTTGATGAAAAAAGGCTCTTCCTTCCTAAAACACAAAAAAGGTTAGGAACTTTTTTTAAAATAAATAAACAAAATGGTTTAGGGAAAAAAATTACACATTTATTACTGTCTCATACAAAAAATTACAAACACAGATAATACAAAAAAAATACTATATAATTAGTTACAGAGACAAATATCAAAAATAGCAAAAAAAATACTCGCTATCTCCAATCAGTTTACAAACGCGTGAAGTTGGATATGCTACAATACTTACAATTGTTACTGGGCGATAATTTGTAGCAGAAATAAATTATTACAAATAAAAAAATATCTTTTAAATGAAACTATGCATAGACGTTAACCTAAAAAAAAACTCAAATATGATTAGGTATTTATCAGATGTCAAAAATCGTGCTAAGTGTCATATGTCAATACTTAATCTTAAAAATGAGAACAGTTAAAATGATAGCTATGCTACTGCTCATCGGCTATGGCGCCAACGTAAACTACAGGACCTGGAAAACCACTGACACCAACAAAAGGTGTGAGTCTTTAGAACTAATAAATGTAGGCAAAAACCGACTGTTATAACTTAAATTAGCAAGAAAATAATAGATATTATAACAATAGCCTTAAATCCCGTAAGTAATTTTATATTAGAATCTTATATGTTCAAGAAGAAGAGTTGCTTAGACCACAGACACATTAGATACACCTTAAAGAGAAAAGCTGCAAAAGTTAGTAATGGGAATCCACATTTGACTAAGTGGTAGTCTTATTGTCTTATTGACTTGTGGTAGTTTTAGGTCAGCATCTGTCAGGAATGAGGAAGACCATAAAGGTCTAAAGTCTAAATAATGCTATCATTATAGGATCCAAGAATCCTGTCTTTTAATGGAGAATAGAGAAGTCTCCGTGTTGGGAAAAAGGAGTATTAAGCTATTCAATAAAGCCAAAGTAACCAAGGAGTGAAAAGAATATAGAACCATTGTTATGCAGAATTGTTAAGCATTGACAGGGTTGATTGTTTTTTATTTTTTTTTTAAATAAATATGATTAGTTGAAAATTGTTTCATTTGCTATCAGCTAAGGGTTCAGGTTTGATTCCTAGTTTAAGACAAGACGAACTCACACTTGAGATACTGAGCTAGGCAAGGCATAGACGATAAGCTCCCATGGTTGATTGAGGTATTATTTCTATAATAGCACTTTAATTCTCTTTGGTAGTCCTATCGCTACACATTGGCTAGTTACAAAAGATATAATTAGTATTTTAAAATGTACGATAATTTCAAAAGAGATAACGTTCCGAGTAATATTGTTACAAGCAACGAGCAGATAGAGAGAGTGGAAAGGTATAAATATCTTGGCAGCTGGTTAGCTGCAACGCAAGATCCTTAACATGAAATAAAAGTTTGAATATAAATAGAAAGGGTAGCATTTATAAAGATAAACAAATTTCGTTTTTGTAGCAGCCTTAACCTAAGGCTCTAACTAAGCATGCTGATATGCTAGGTTTTCTTAACTCTCCCTCATGGATCAGATGCTTGCTCACTCAGTAACACTGAAATAGATAAGCTTGCTATTTTTGAAAGGTAGTGTCATCGCTGCATGTTAAAAATATCATGGACTGACTTCTGCTTCTTCGCGTGCCATATCAGAATTATCCGACGTTGGCGATCACCATTGCGAAGGCTTCTCTCTATCTTGGAATATGGAATAATTGTCCTGTATTTGATATCTGAGTCCATTCACGAATGTTTTTTAAACAGGAAACTTGTTTTCTTCCTACACCTCCACAGCCCTCTATTTTGCCTTTAATATAAGATTATTTGTAATATTTTATATCGACTTCTCCTTACTATATGTCCCAGATAAGACATTTTTCGATGTTTAACAGTCTTCAGCAGTTCTCTATCTATGTTGATGCCCCATAGTACTTCTTCATGGACTGACAGAATAATGAATGTAGAACTTCTACATTCTGTAGTCTAGGGAATGAAAAAAAGCGAAAAAATAATCGGCACCCAAAAACAAGAAAGATATAATACTTTAAACACGTCATTAGAGGACCTAAATACTTGCTGCAAAACACAATGGTGGGAACAATAAAAGGCAGACGGGGTTAAAGTAGGACAATAATATCGTAGCTTAATCATTTGCGAGATTCATTTGGACCGACAACAACTGTTATTGGCAAATAAAGTTATAGTCACTATATTAATTTTCATCCTCCGACGAAGAGAGGAATTTAAAGAAGAAGAAGAATAATAAGAGTGGCATTGTAAGGAATGAAATCAATATGTGTATATACAAAAAAAGAAAGAAAGGAAACTAAAATTATGAGATGTATATAATTATACCGTTGAATATCAAACAAGTTTTAAAATGTTTGATATAAAAATCAGAGCTACTCTGTACATGCAGCACCAATAACTTTTTTATTTAACTTTCTGAATGTAACAATTATTACATAAACTTCTGATCACTGTTTTTAACCTCATCAAATATTAAATTGACATATATTGTGAAATCGTAAGTGGCGTCAAAAAGCCACGTGCTGTATGGGGTGGGTAACAAGCATTGGTAAAGGGCCTCCATAAAGAACTACCTGTCAATCAACAATCAAGAAAATGATATAAAATCAGAGCGGCGGTATAAGCACTTGTTATTTTTATTCAGGCTGCTGAAAGTAGTGTAAATGTGGAGAACTATGGGTGAGTATTACTTATGCATTAATAAATTTTATTTTACATTTTTAACTCTTTTTGGTTGTTATTTACCAATACAGTAGTTGTAGCAGTATTTAACATATTATATCAGGTGTTATATAGATATTAATGTATACAGTGAGTTTACTGACGTTTCAATCTCCACTTCGAAAATAGTAGTCAACATATAAACTTTAAAAAAAAAGTAAACACTTTTATACAAAGTTTGTATACATGGGGTCCTAAAATAACGGATAAATTCATTTTATCTTCTTCATGTGCCTCGTCCGTTCCGAACGTTGGCAATCAACATGGCTATTCTGACTTTGTTTACGGCAGATCTGAATAGTTCAGCAGATGACAATCCGAACCATTGCCGTAAGTTTTGGAGCCACGAGTGTCTTCTCCTCCCTTGACTCCTTCTGCTGTCTATTTTCCCTTGAACGATCAGCTGTAGTACTCTATATTTATTATGTCTCATAACGTGACCCAAGTATTCCAACTTTCTTTTCTTTATACTTATTCCTACCTCTCTCTCTTTACCTATCAGGCGTAGTACCTCTTCGTTGGTCACGTGCTCAGTCCAGGATATACGTAATATACGTTGGTAAGCCCACATTTCGAAGGCCTCTACTTCTTTCATCAATGTTGCGGTCATTGTCTACGCCTCCATTCCATATAACAAAACCGGGAATACATAACATTTCAGAAGTCGAATTTTGAGAGGTAGGGTAAGGCTTTTAGAGGTGAAAATTTGCTTCATGCTAGTGAACGATGCTCTTGCCTTTTCTACTCTTATACGCATTTCCTTCGCTTGATCCCAATTTGAGTTAACTGTTGCTCCCAAGTAGATGTACGAATCCACGTGTTCAATTCTCTCATTGTCTAATATCAGTTGCTGTGGTGGTTGTTGGGTTTCGTTTACTAACATCCATTTGGTTTTTGTGATACTTAGTCTGAGTCCGTATTGTGCACTTGTTTTTTGTATCTTACTCATTAGGCAACTCGGTTCCTCCATGCTACTTGCTAGAATCACAGTGCCATCAGCATACCTTATGTTATTAATTATTTCTCTATTTATCTTTATGCCTTCTGTGCTTTCCTCCAGCGCTGTCTTAAATACTTCTTCTGAGTATATATTAAAGAGAATAGGAGACAAGATACAGCACTGTCGTACCCCTTTCTTAATCTCAATTTTATTGGTCAATGTAGATCCTACTTTCACTTTAGCTGTTTGATCCCAATAGAGACTCGCTATTGTTCGAATGTCTCTGTAGTCGACTCCAATCTTATGAAGAACTTCAATTATCTCTTCGTGCTTTACGTTATCGAATGCTTTTGCGTAGTCTATAAAGCATATGTACACGTCTTTGTTCATATATCTGCAGCGCTGGATGAGTACCTGTAGACTAAAAATTGCTTCTCTTGTCCCAAGAAAATTCCGAAACCCAAACTGCGAATCTCCAATATTATCCTCGCATTTTTTGCTTATACTGTTGTAAATAACCCTGGTGTATGCCTTTGAAATGTGGTTAATTAGACTTATCATCCGATGTTCAGCAAAAGTTGACTCTAGCCAGTCTTCAGGGAACTCCCCGTTATTGTAAATATTGTTAAAGAGTATTGTTATGTATAAAAAATATATACATATAAAATATTTATATGTATAAATATTTTATACGTATTGTAAATACAAATATAGAAAATCCGGAAACAGGTCAATTTTTATATATGAAAATACACTTTCCAATGACACTATTCAAATGTATCTTGAACTTCCTAGTGGTAGTAGTTTAAGACAGAGTTTACTATTTTAACTGGGCTTACAAATTGAGGTTACTTTTCGAAATAAATTCTGCTCAGTAGTTATTATATACAATTTTGTTATTTAATGACAAAAGGTAACAAATGTTATAGGGTGGAAGGATTTTATGTTTGATTAAATTTTAAGTCGTCAGTTGGTTGTATATATTTTAAACATTCAAAGAAAATGTGGTTTAAATCTGCTTCTTTTTAACAAACTTCACATAAATTGGAATTTACAATTTTAAGTTTTGACAGATGAGCCAGATAACATGTGTGCCCTGATTTCATTCTGATAATAGATGTAATGTATCTACGTGGAACAGAGTAATTTTTAAACTAAAATTCACTCGGGATTGAGGGTTGTATGAGTGCATATTGTGAGTTAGAGTGTTGACTATATTCGTAATATTCTTGTTTCCGCTGATTGTTTACAATATTTTTGATTGTTACAAATACATCTGGTATGCAGAGCTTATAATCTGTTTTCGCACTAGAATCAATATCTTTCTTAGCTAATATATCTACATACTCATTACTCATTATGCTCAAGCCTTATGTGTTCTTCAATCTACAAAAATCTAACTGTTCTTTGTTGCTGATGTAATTCAAACATGATTATTTACGATTAGAAGGATGTAAATCTGTGTGGTTTTGCTAGGAAAAGATATAGTCTCAATGGCTATAAGAACCGACAAAGAATCAGATGCAATTATTGCGGAGTTGTCATTGGAATTTTTAAAATACTTTGATGCTTCATAAATTGTTACGGCTTCAGCATTAAACATTAAAAAATTATGATCTAGAGTAAACATGTTTTCTATACTTTTTGAAGGCATATTAAAAAGCGCATCCAGTGCCAAGAGAAGACTTTGATGCGTATGTATAAATAACTATTGATGCTGGCTAGTTTTCTAACAAATTCCTTAAAATATTGTAGGTGATTGTAGCATTTACACGGTACCTTAGTTTAATTACCGTAATAGTTTGCAAAAAAGCAAACATTTTTCAGAGTTTTATTTATCATATG